AATTTATAATTATAATAATCATCATTGAGTATATAATTATCATCAAATGTACGATCAGCATGTGTATCATCATCTAATCTACCACCAGCAGCTGCGACATCAGCATTTGTATCATCCATAAGTATATCATGAAAAAGTATATTATCATTAAAAACTGGATCATTTACAGCAACATCATCTTCAAAATTTCCATTAATTTTGGATAAATATTGATTTGATTCTTTCTAGAAAATAAAAACGAACAGTGGAAAACTTTTACTTTGAAATGGCTCAGTTAAAATAAGTCATTTACAATTTGTTCAGTCAATAAACGAGGCACAGATAATTGAGTACAATAGAGTTTATCTTTTTGCTTATTACGCCATCGTCGTTGTTTACGTGTATGTGATGATGGTTCTAAAAAAAGGATGACATATGAATCAAAAAGAAGAAACTAAGTACATATTGAGATTACCTAATTTATTAACAGCATTGTCCAGCAATAAGTTGAACAAATTATCAGAATTTTCTTTGTCCATAAAAAATATAAATGCTGCAAGAAGATCTACAAAATGAAATAAAGAGAAAGACATTGATTAGTAGAATATCGAAATACGTTCAATAAAAGTGTAATTCTTTGGAAAAAAATCGCTATTGTATATTCCATTGTTATTTTTATATCCAATCGAAACAAACAGCTATCAGATTTCGTTCGAATAAAATGACCGTTCTAGGAAGTGCATACTCAAAGTGAAATTATACTATAGTTTTCACATCAATAAAATGAATAAATAATAATTTGAACGTTTCTTTTATATATTCGATCACACAAAGACATCACATGCCAGTTTTTCTTGGAAAGCTGGCAAGAATCTTTTTCCTCCTATCGAAAAGAATCTTCTCTGAACATCAAGAAATTTTAAATATCTTATATTTCTTTTCAGCGTCTGTTTTTTCATAATTTTCTGACAAGATGCTTCTGATCTTGAATAGCAGACAAGATTCTTTCCAAAAGGAAAGAAAAAGATTCATGTCTGAACTTAAAATATATCTTGACTATCTATGATTCTTGCCTGATTCTTTTATTTCTGATCAATCAAGCAAGATT